GTGTGTGTGTGTGTGTGTGCATGTGTGTGTGAATACATATGCATTAAATACACATATATGCATATTTGTGTAATTATGTCTATAGATGTATGGACATGGGTGTGATTTTGGGGACGGTGTAGGAGAATGAAGCATTGTTGGGGAGCTGGACCAGGTGGCCTCAAAAGCCTCTATTTGGACGCCAATTCGTTAAGTATTTTGGATATTTTCAAACTTTGATTTATTTTACAGTTCAGAATAAAATTATTTCCTGGGCTTGTTTAGTTTGAGATTGAGAAAACTACTGTGGGTTATTTGCAATTACTGTATTGTGATCTGAATTAAACCCTGGATTCTAAATAGCAGCTGACTCCCTGAAATCCTAATAAGCCAAGAGAATAGAGCAAAGGTCTCTCTTCGCATAGTGGTTATTTCAAATCCAGTTCTAATTTCTGCTACCTAGGGAGTTGTTTCCAATGTGGCCGACAATACACTCAGTAGCTAGCATACTTTTCAGCTTCTCCAGTTTTCTTATAAATATATTAATAAAGACAAAAAGTTCTTTTAAAAGTTCCTCGATCACTTTTATTATATTTTCTAGTTTTGAAAAATACTGTACTTTTAAAAAAAGCACCCCAGTGCATGGAATTTTAAAATGTTTTTTTGGGGAAAAAAAAGTCCCCACAAACATTCTGAACAATAAGAATATAAAAAACCCCTGCCTTTTTGTACTTACTTATAATTTCTTTGTAACAAAAGGAGGAGAATATTTAAAGCTCCTGTTCAGAGTAATATCACATCTGGAATTCCACATTTGTGGTATTGCGATAATACTTCAGGCAGTGTTTGTTTAACAGTTAGCAACAGTGCTTTAATGACTAGGGTCCAATTGCAGAGGAAACATAGAAAGGACAAAGGGAGTGAAAGAAAGACATAACATAAACCCATACACTGTATCTAATCAGAGTGAATTACTGTGTTCACTCCAGTGGAATATGATCCTATCTTAAAACGGTTTTTGAATGACAAGCTTCCAGTCTGAGCAGGCCAGGATTATTCCGAAGCAGAGCTCAGGACAGATGGCAAAATACACTATCTACCATCCTATTTTTGCAGAAAAACACAAAATCTCTATACACATATGAGAGAAGCAGAAGACCGATTGACTAATTCTAGCATCATCAGGACGATGGATTTACGTACCGAGGAAGGGGATGGTAGAGGTCATAAGGCATGATCTGCTTGTATCCGTCACTGTTAGGAACAATAATGCCAACCCTCTGAGTAGAAGGTACACACAATAAAATAAACACTAAATGATTACATTATACACATTTTTTTTAGACAAAAGCAAAACAACATTTATAAATCGTCTCTGAAAAACAACACGAAAACAGTTCAATATCTTTATGGTATGCTCTAGGATGGGGCAAGTTCTTTGAAAGGGCACCGTTTACTAGAATTAGTTCTCTGGTCCAAGCAGGAAATACCATTGGAAAGGGTGGTGGCAAGAAAACTTGGCACCTCATCATTAACTATGACACAATACGCTTGTAAATGTTCTTTAATCCCCCAAATTATACATCCCATGAGATCATTATTATCATCATTATTAATGTTACTTCCAGATGCTCACTAAGCCATTATATTTACTGTCCCACTTTTGATGAAAGAGAGAGCTATATGTAAGAGTACGTACCAGGGAACTGACAATACCTGGGAACTGACAATACTATATAATGTGATACATAACCTAGCAAATAGGTTTCTTCTCTTAGCAGATCTAAAGATTTTAGCAATATCTGGAAATTAGACACTTGGTTACTTTATAAAGGGAAGGGGAACTAGTGAATATAACAGACAACTATCAATAAAAGCAAGATTCCTACCAAAATAAAGGTGGGGCAGTTGAAATGAGATAATAAATATGAATGATCTTTTCTGTAGAATGCGATATAATGTTAACTGCATTACGGTGGTGGCTGTGATTGTCATGACTGTTGTTGGTCTACCTGGCGCCCTGGGAAACCTGTAAGACTCAGAGACAGAGACTAAAGAAGCCATAAGAAGTGACATGATAGACTGTATGGCTAACGGGTTCACAAGAAGTGATATTATAGGCTGTGTGGGAGTCCCCAGAGGGCTTTAGGACTCCAATAACCCTACACTAACCTACCTTACTGATTTCAACTAAAGCCTCCAATTGGCAAGACTTTCTTATTTCTGAGTCCCCTGGCTTGTGGAAGATTCTGACTCATGCATCTTAGATGAAACAGGGCCTCCATCAAGACTGGGAGACAGAGCTCAATACCTAAGCTTTGGGGTAGAAAGGGTAAACTGGTCATACTGTGGATCAGAGAGTTAAAAAATAGCACTAAATGGCGGTCATGAGGAAATGGAGATCATAAGGAGGAAAGAAGGGGTGATAATGAGTGTATTTCCTGACGAAATAACTGAAAGCGAAGGGGATACATGACAGGAATTAAATTTAAAGGAAAATGGGAAACAAAGCTATGAAGGTAGATTTCTAAGACTGACAACCATTGGAGTACTAATTTACTTATTTATCTAACATGCCTAAGTTTTCTATTTATTTGTGTGACTAAAGTTTTTGTACTCACTTGTGTGACTAAATTTTTATGGTGTATGTAAATGCATTACCCTTAAGTAACAATGTTCAAAAAACTGAATGCTATCTTTTGAGGAAGCTCAAAATCTCACAGCTCTAATTAACACAAGAATGGAACGAATATTAACATAAACTTTTCTCCTCATGTTTCGAAGTTACAGAAACATCCTATTGTTTTCTGCCCTCTTTTGACAGACAAGAAATTGGATGTGAAAGGCTAATCCTGTCTGTTGTTAGAAGCATGTGCTCTCTTCCCAATAATTCTTATGTCCAGCAATTAAGGGAATTTTCTTTCTAAAAAACTATATTTTAATGAATTCCAACCTTCCAAAGCTCTTCTAATAACTTGGGGCATAATCTAATAGTAGTTAATTAAGGAATAAATCAAAATGATTCTGCAGTTATAGTTATGCCTGCATCAATTTCTAAACGCAGAAACGCATATCATTGCCTTCTTTCCAGAAAAAATTTATTGCTGTAATTTGTCAGCCTCAATATTAGAAGGAACCATTACAGATCTTTGCCAACTGATTTATCAGCTGATGATATTTGAAATGGAGGCAGTACTATTGAAGGAGGCAGGCTAGAAAAGAAAAAAAAAAGGGGGGGAATGTATAGAATTCAAGATGTTGGGCTTTGCTTTCAACTGATTTAGAAATTACATTTTTGTTTCAACAAGGAGCTTTAACCTTCGATTCAGCAAAACTATAGCTATATTTGTCTTTCTATGGCATGGGTCATAGTGAAGACTCATAAAATGGCTCTATGGCACCTGTAAAAACAGAAAGATATCAAAACAATGGTGCTCTGTCCAGTCCTGTTCATGCATATTCGTGTGCCTGGGCTCTGCTCTCTCTTGGGGTTCATGCCATGGCCTGGCCTTTCACCACACTGTCACAGAGGGGCAGGCAACGTGGCTGAAACTAAACTTCCTATTGCTTGCCTTTAGGACACTGGTCTTTTATCTTAGGCAAAGTATACACACTGAAGGATCAAGAAAAAAGTATATCATTTAGGGACTTTAAGAAGTTCTTCTCGGGTTGGCCGAGTGGCGCGTTGGTTGAGAGCTGGCTTGGGATGCCGGCTCTGAGCAGCAGGGCCCCAGTTTAGATCCCACATGAGGGTCAGTGGCGCTGTGCCCTCTACAGCTGGGATGGTGAACAACAGCTCGACCTGGAGCTGGCTGTTGTGGGTCACCGTTGACGGCGTGGGCTGCCGTAAAGCTACTGTGAGTGGCTGGCAGCCGGCATGGGCTGCCAGGAGCTGCCATGAGAGGCCATCCAGTGGCTGGCGACCGATCTGCCTCACCTGGGAAGAGCGCAATGATAATACTGAGGCAATGTCCTCCACAACTGGACTGAGGAGCAAAGGGACGATGACTTGTCTGTTCCCCTACGCTGTTTCCCTCCCCCAATTCCCCAATAAAATCTTAAAAAAAAAGTTCTTGCCATAGTTTAGGTCTTGATTTGTACGTGTATGTGTATGTGTGCATCTTACATGCATCTAAATGTGTGGGGGGAGGTGAAGGAGGTGAAAAGGACTTAAAAAAATAATCACAAAGGGAAGAGTTGTTTGGGGATAAAACTGCTTCTTCTTTATTGCCTTCACTATTATGACCACACATGCACTTCTTACATTGGGGAGTGAACTGATTCCCTCTTAAATCCCCAACATCAGGGGTCATGTTGGGAAGAAGAGAAGAGAAGGATGAGGAAATGGTCATTCTGGACTCATGTGGTGTAAGTGGAAGAAAGATATTGTACCAGGTCCTCTCAAAGCACACACCTGGATGAACTGCCCACTGACCGGAGAAAGCTTCTGATGGGCTCATGTAATGAAATAGTATGCAGTATAGAAACAAAGTGTTTTGAACCATTTGTAATGCTGTGGAAAATGTTCAAATGTAATGCCAATTGAAAACAATTCAATATAAAATAGAATGTACAATGTGATCCATAGTACTGAGAAAATTCATGTGTTCATATATCATCTATACAATCATTTTCATAAAGTCTACATATACGTGTGTGTGTGTATACACATATGTACACACAAATATATTAGAAAAAGAACCAAAACAGTTGTTTATTCCTGATGTTTGAATTATAGGTGTTTTCACTTTTTTTTTTTTAGTTGTTTGTTTCTCTGTTTTTCAGGTACTCTATAATGTACAGTCACAGGATCTAGAGCATCCAAGTAAAACAAAATTCAGGTCTGAGAAAGTATCAGACAGAGGAATTTGGAAATATAAAATATAAATGAGGCCATTGTCTCAAATTCCGTGTGTTGCTTAAAGATTATTGAGTCTTTGTCCTGAAATCATCTCAGAAGCTACTTTAGAACTATATCCCCAACTTCGAAAATCAAGCCATATTCAGGCTCACACAATTCAGTTGAAGGATTTATACATTGTAATAAATTTCTCCAAGAAAAATCCTAAAATAGCTAAATCTGTGGGCACCTCATTTGTGGGGTTCTGGGTTCTTTCTATAATGAAAATGAACCATAAAGGGCCCCTTTCATGGTTTTAACCTCCTTCTCAGTGAATCTCTCAGGACCTCTTGCCGTTCTCCTGGGCTGCAGGGCCTCATTTCTGACTTCCCGACAGTGGGATGTTCTCTAGGTGTTTCAAGCTCAGAGCGCCTGGATGACTCGTTATCTTCCCCTATAAGCTGCTTCTTCTCTCGTGTTCCTTTTCACTGGTCAGAGCACTGCCATCCTCCCATCTACCTAAGCTAGATACTGTGGGACATCTTTGCTTCTACTCTTTCCTGAGTTCCCTACAGGCACTCCGTTCTTCCAGCTGCAGTGTCTGCCTAGTGTATCTCCTTGTGACATGAGTTTGGGCCCTTACGTAGCAGTCTGCTAACGGATCTCTTTGCCTGCAGGCATTGCCTCCTCCAATCCAGCCTGCTCACTGCTGTCATAGCAACCAATATCTTACTTTTGAAACCAAAAGTCCTAAGTGTCTCCATAATGCCCAATGAAATTTCTTTTTTTAATAATTAAATGTATTGGGGTGACAATGGTTAGTACAATTACATAGGTTTCAAGTGTACAATTCTGTAATACATCAACTGTATATCACGCTGTGTGCTCACCACCACAGTCGGTTCTCATTCCATCACCATATATTTGGCCCCCTTTTTAGGGGGGATGGTAGAAGAGGGCCAATGAAATTTCTTAAGTCAAGTGCTACCTCTTCTAAAGCCTGTTCTTATTTTCCTTCTCAACATCCAGCCAGACATTCTCTCTTCCTCTTCCAAACACCCAGAGCACTAACTCCTGTCATCACTTTTAACTATGTACTAACTTCTATGTATAAGTTTTCTTTAAGCACCATGGAATGAAATCCATATTAGTTCTTTACTGTATCGCCTAACAGTCCCTGCACAGGGGCAATTAGTAAGCACTCATGCAATAAAATCATGCCATTGATGTGCAGACACAAAAGCAAACAGTATCACTACGTTCCAGAATTAAAGCAAACAAACCAAAACAAGGCTGAAGACACTCCCAAACTGCCAGTCACTGCGCACATTGTTAGTCCCACCCCTTGCTTTCCGCTAGCTCTGCTGTCTGTATGAAGGAGGGTAGTTTGGCAGTTTAGGAAGGCTGCTCTGGC